TGTGTGTGTGTGTGTGTGTGTGTGTGTGTGTGTGTGTGTGTGTTATAAGTGTGTCAAAAAACCATAAACACAACATATTCACGAGCAAGTTTTGTCGTTGACATTCTCCATGGTTGTTTGTGTGTCCATGGCTGTGTTTATTTATGTGCATGTACATTTGTGTGTGTGTGCGCGTGTGAGTTTCTGTGTGAATGTGAGTGTGAGTGTGTGTCTGTCTGTGTGTTTTTGTGTGTGTACGCGTGTGTGTGTTTGTATTTGAGTGTCTGTGGTTGTGTTTGTGCGCGTGTATGCGTGTGTGTGTACGCGTGTATGTGACATGTGTGTCTGGGGTGTGTGTGTATGTGAGTGTGTGTGTGAATATGTATGATGAATGTGTGTGTGTGTGTGTGTGTGTATGCGTGCGTGTGTGTGTGTGTGTGTGTGTGTGTGTGTGTGTGCGTGCGTGTGTGTGTGTGCGTATGCGTGCGTGCGTGTGTGTGTGTGTGTGTACGTGTGTTTATGTGTGTGCGTGCGTGTGCGCGTATGTGTGTGTATGTGTGTTCGTGTGTATGTGTGTTTGTGTATTTATGATCGTGTCAAAAAACCAGAAGTACAACATTATATTCACGAGCAAGTGTTGTCGTTGACATCCTCCACAGTAATTCTGATCTGTGCGGAAGCACTGGAGCCCCCTGGGTCTGTCGCTATCAAAGTCACGTACGTCAGCATTGGGCTGGAAAAAGAAGCCATAGATAGATCTAGAATCATTAGAATTTTTGGAAAGTTAATCACTATTCTTAAAAGTGAGGAGTGCTGAGAAAATGAGTTACTTCTTGCAATCCACAAAAAAGGAGATATTGGCCAAAAATCGACGCAAGGGTCAGATTTGTCGATATTCTACACTATATATAACATGTATTTTATAATTTCCTACATATAAATTGTAAAAACTTCCCCTTCAACTTTAAGCAGGATGTATCTATTTCAGTATGGCTTAAATCCGAGAAGTAACTCATTTTTCCGCATGCTTCACAAATGTCTTACGGTACAGTCCTATCAGTACGATGTAGCATAACACCATATATAAAGACAGACCAAAAACAAAAGTATTGTACTTACGAAATAGTGTGTCTAATTGTGTGCACCTTCCCCCCGCCCGTCTCAGTGAAATACTATTTTGGAGAGTCTACGTCTCAGCCTTCGGTCGGATAAAATATCACAAATACTAATATTTATAAAAGGAGAAAGAAAATAATAAATTAGATTAGAATTAGATAGAATAGACTAGATGGCCTACGTGCAGAATGTTCAAGTAAATACGTAAAGACCCCTGATTCACTTATCAAAATAATATTTTTGTTCACTAGTGTTTCACTCTACAGAAGGAGAGGACAGCATAAAGTTTATGATAAACTATGAGATCAAGTGAATGTGATAAAAAATGAAAAACAGACATACGATTTAAGCAGACAAAACAAGTCAAAATGTTCCAGACGAATATTTTTTAAAAAGCGATGCCCCAATTTAAAAACCAAATTATTGTTGCTTAATAAAAATATTTCAATCTTCAGAAGGATTACATTACAAAAATAACCATCATGAAATCAAGATTAATGAACAAAATAAAAACAACTTCTATTTGAACAAACAAGGGACGCATCAATGCTGACGGAAAATAATTTTATACACGCCAATTAAAAATAATAACAAAAATACATGAATTTTTCCTAAAGATTAGTTTACTCATCATTAGGATACTCGTGGCCTAGAGGTTAAGGTGTCTGCCTCTCATTCAATAGGTGTGCAAGTTGCGCACGTTAAAGATCCCTTGGTTGCCTAAAATCGATAAATGTCTTGTGTGTCCCGCGCACTCATATGACCTTATGCAGTTGCGAGCTCAGTAAAACACTTACCGAAAAAAAGAAAACAAAAAAAGCAAAACAAAAACAAAGAAAAAAAAACATGACCCAAGAAATATATTGAAGATAAGACAAAAGAATAAACAAAAGCAAAAACAAAAATTGAACAAACGAGAAAGGTGCAGATGCTTATGAAACAAAAAGCCTCCCTCC